CGCACCTCCGCTGGCCCCCCCAGGAACCCACGAAAGTGGCGACAGTTGCGCAGATCGCAGCCCCGCAGGGGACAGGGGGGCCTCAACGTGATCTGCGTATGACGCACCTCCGCTGGCCCCCCCAGGAACCCGCGAAAGTGGCGACAGTTGCGCAGAGCGCAGCCCCGCAGGGGACAGCCAGGAGCCCACGAAAGTGGCGACAGCTGCGCAGATCGCAGCCCCGCAGGGCACCGCGAACACAAGAGAGAAGGAGGAGGAGAGGGCGGGAAGTTGGTACCACAGTTCTCTTTTCAAAACGAGTACCCAACCATGGGAGGGTTGGGAATGACTAGTAGAACATAAGCTTCGTTCGCGCCTGATCTTTGTCCAGCGCCTTTCGTTCCGTAGTTTTTTTTCCAAAGAAATCCTCAGTTGATCCACCGCGTTCGCAATTTTGGCCTACAGACGGGCGTCGTTCCCGTAAGGCGCCCTTCGGGTTCCTATTGCGTCCTGCAGGACCCCTATGGCATCCTATAGGGCCCCTATGGAATCCGATGGGGCCCCTATGGGGTCCCATAGGACCCTGACGGAACAATTTCGGATCCCGATGGGATCCGATTGGATCCCCATGGAATCTTATAGTATCCCAATGGAATCGTATAGGACCCCATGGCATCCAACAGGATCCCCATGGAGTCCTATAGGATCTCGATGGCATATTAAAGGGTCCCTATGGCATCCTGTAGAATCGTTCATGGAATCGTACAGGACGTCCATGCAATCCTAAAATGGCCTCAGTGGAATTGTACAGGGTCCCGATGCAGTCCCATCGGTCTCTGACGCAATCCTAAAGGATCCCTAGGGACTCCTATCGGGTCCTTATGGGATCTCATAGGGTCCCGCCGGATCTTCATATGATCCTATAGGATCCATGTGGAATCCAGAGATACCCCGATGAGACTCTATAGGATCTTTATGGCATCGTACAGGATGCCAATGGCATCCCATATGCTGCCTATGTATTCATTTAAGATCATGAATGCAAGCTGCTAGAGTTCGACGGCGCTATGTTCTACGCTGGTCAGTTCATCATCTTTGTTGACGGTCACATCCGGCTGGTCCCTGATCCCGTCAAGCCGCTATTAAAGCTGGGCCGCCGGGATATGTATTGCCGCGAACACGTAGTCGAGTGCGGAATTTCATTTCGAGACAATAATGACCTTTTAAATTCTGGTGCACGACGGGAAGTGGCGAAGGCGGCTATGTGCCGCTATTCTACGACGCTACCAAACAAGGAGGCGCCCCCGCTCGTAGTTGAGGTCTTTGCATCGCTCGCACATGACGAGACAAAGTTTATTTCTCTGTGGTATAGCGATGATCGGAAGATAGTTAACCGCAGATTGCCTACAGAGGTCAAAATTCGTTTGACAGGTGACGAAGCGTTCAGCTTTAAGTCTGGCGGCGCTTTCGAGCATTCATTTGCGGGGCAAGTCGAGGCGGTGTTTGGCGAGTTAGATTTGTTTTCTCTTAGTTTGCTTACTTGAATGGTATTGTGTCATGTTGCTGCGCTAGACCAACGACTAGCACGCGATGTGCGAAGGAGAAGTTCTGTGACTATGGTGTTGCGCAGCGCACGGGCGCCGAAGCGGGCTTCTGACGAGTCCTCGTTTCCACGCGGTTTGGCACCGAGCCTCCCGTGAAAATATCCGCCGAGCAAGCACTTCGTTGACTGGTGATGCGACATTGCGTTAATGCATCCGGAGTTAAGGCCTTGGTCTGTAGTTACGTGGAGCTGCAGGCAGTCGCGTTTCGCGGCGTGGCGGAGAATCACTCGACTGGGTCTGCGAGAGGAAGATACGTCGCGGGCATTAAGAGAGCCTCAGGCGAAGGAGGCCCGCGCCGCCGAGTACGCTTGCCGGTCAAGGACGAAATCCACGAGGACTGCGGGATACGAAAACCAGTTTTGATTGCGCTATGCGCACACATCGAATAACAACAAGTGGAATCTTTTAAGGTCCCTATGGGATCTGAGGATCCCGATGGCATCCTATAGGACGCCAGTACAATCCCAGTGACATCCAATAGGATCCCTAAGGAATCCCATCGGATTCTCCGACATCCGATGGATTCCCGTGGGATCCTATATGATCCCAATGGAATCGTACAGGATCCCCATGGGATCGTATAGAATCCTTATGGATCCTATGGGGTCCTCATGGCATCTTAGGATGGGAATGGTATATGCTACTATTCCAAGAGGGTGCACATGTAATTTCGATGACACTTGGATTCCAATTAGGATTCCGATGATAAGAGGGTCCCAGGTTGATTTCGATCGAATTGCGATTGTAATTGGATCCCAGTGGAATCTCATTAGGTTTCCGGCTGCAATAAGATCCCAGTCGAATGCCAATTTATTCCGAATGCGGTAGGATTTCAGCACGATGTCGTTTCATAATCTGATTTCAAGTGGATTCACATCGGAGTCCGATTAGAGTAGGATTCCAAGTGGATGCCACTAGGGTTTCGGTTGCAGTCGGATTCGATTTGGATTCCAATAGGATTCTGATTACAATAAAATGCCAAAGCGATTTCGATTACAATAATATTCCAATAATATTCCAATTTGATTCCGATTCTTGAAAGATGCCAATCGTATTCAAATAGGAATTTGGTTACCATAATATGGCGATTCCAATGATAATCCGATAACATTGAGATTCTGATTGCACCAGGAATCCGATTCCAATTGGATTCCGACTAAAATAGAATTCCGATTACACCAGGATTCCGGTTATAATCGGATTCCACCCGAGGCCAAACCCAAACCCAAACCCAAACCCGCAGCTCACCAGCGATAAGTCAGGTGTGACCTGTTAGTAGTAGCAGGCGTAGTAGTGGTCGTCGTCGTCGTCGTCGTCGTCGTCGTCGTCGTAGTAGTAGTAGTAGTAGTTATAGTAGTAGTAGTAGTAGTAGTAGTAATAGTCGTAGTAGTAGTAGTAGTAGTAGTAGTAGTAGTAGTAGTAGTAGTAGTAGTAGTAGGGGTACTAGTAGTAGTAGTGGTAGTGTTGCTAGTAGTAGTAGTAGTAGTAGTAGTAGTAGTAGTAGTAGTAGTAGTAGTAGTAGTAGTAGTAGTAGTAGTAGTAGAAGTAGTAGTAGTAGTAGTAGTAGTAGTAGTAGCAGTAGTAGTAGTAGTAGTACTAGTAATATTTCAACTGGTAATAGTAGTATAGTAGTATAGTATAGTGAGTTGGTAATAGTAGTAAGTAGTAGTAGTCGTAGTAGTAGTAGTAGTAGTCGTAGTACGTAGTCGTACTAGTAGTAGTATGCGTAAAGTAAGTCGTAGAAGTCGTAAGTATGTAGTATTAGTATATAGTAGAATATAAGTAGTAGTTTGTAGTAGTAAGTAGTAGTATAAGTAGTAGTAGTGTAGTAGTAGTAAGTAGTAGTAGTGGTGGGGGGGAGTAGTAGTAGTAATAGGATTAATAGTAGTAGGCTTAGTAGTAGTAGGTAAGTAGAAGTAATGAAATAAGTAGTAGTAGTAGTAGTAGTGGTATAGTAGTAGTAGGAGTAGTAGTAAATTAAGTATTAGTATAGTTGTGGTAAGAGTATGAGTAAGAGTAGGAGTAGGAGTCAAGCTAGCAGCTCGAGCGAGTCAAGCATGGCATGCCCAGTCCCACCCGCCCTCCCACAACATAAGAAGCAAAGCTGGCACAACTGGGGGCCGAAGTCACACCGGCCAGCCGGTTTGGTACAGCTGATGCGGCCGCGATGGCGGTTGCCGACGGGAACTGGCGAGCGCGTGTTGAATGCCGCGCACGCATTGCCAGACGAGTCGAGAATGGCCCGGTACACCGCAGGAAGCCAGAGGTGGCCGGAGGAAGCCCGACGGTCTGACAGGACACCCCAAAGCATTTTTGTGAAAAAGCATTGGGTTTTTGATGTTTTTATGTTGAAATGCTTGCAAACACACGGTGTTCGGTAGGATTCTGACATGAACGCGCGAGTGTGCTCTTTGTGGTATTTTTTGCACAGGATTCGCGGCCTGGGTGCATGACAGAGCATCGCGAGTGCACCGCGCGATGACGTGAAATCGCTGGATTTGACCGAATTCTTAAGATTCCTATGGTTTTCCTATGATTTCAGCAAGAGAGCCCGGGCGGGAAATTTGTACAATTTTTGTGAAAAAGCATTGGGTTTTTGATGTTTTTATGTTGAAATGCTTGCAAACACACGGTGTTCGGTAGGATTCTGACATGAACGCGCGCGTGTGCTCTTTGTGGTATTTTTTGCAATGGATTATCGCCGTGGACGACAGGACGTCCATGTCGAGAGGAAAAAATAAGAAAAATGTTGATTTTGTATTGTTTTTTACAGGTTAGGATGGGACCCCCCGGATTGCGGCCCCTAGGGGATACATCATATAATAGTAGTAGTAGTAGTAGTAGTAGTAGTAGTAGTAGTAGTAGTAGTAGTAGTAGTAGTATTAGTAGTAGTAGTAGTAGTAGTAGTAGTAGTAGTAGTAGTAGTAGTAGTAGTAGTAGTAGTAGTAGTAGTAGTAGTAGTAGTAGTAGTAGTAGTAGTAGTAGTAGTCGTAGTAGTAGTAGTAGTAGTAGTAGTAGTAGTAGTAGTAGTAGTAGTAGTAGTAGTAGTAGTAGTAGTATTAGTAGTAGTAGTAGTAGTAGCAGTAGCAGTAGCAGTAGCAGTAGCAGTAGCTGTAGCAGTAGCAGTAGCAGTAGCAGTAGCAGTAGCAGTAGCAGTAGTAGTAATAGTAGTAGTAGTAGTAGTAGTAGTAGTAGTAGTAGTAGTAGTAGTAGTCGTCATCGTCGTAGTCGTAGTCGCAGTCATAGTCGTATTCGTAGTCGTAGGAGGAAGAGGGGGGCAGGAGAAAACTGGGGCAATGAGGAAATGGAGAACGAGGAGACCTTCCCTTCCTTGTTGTCTTCGTCATCATCATCTCTTCCCTCCTCCTCTTCCCTCCTCCTTCTTCGAATTCTCGTTTCTCTTCCCTGGTCGACGAGGCGTTCCTCGCGAGGGTGCTCCGGAAACTGTTCGAGAGGCCGCGGCGCGGGGTGCCGACAAGGGGGCCGGGAACGGCAGCGGCTTTAGCGGTCATCCAGCAGGAGGAGGGCGGGTGGAGGGGAGGGTGGGTGGCGGGATCCAGTGGTTGCGCCCGATTCGTCAAGATCCCTTCCTCCCTCGTTTTGCTCTTCCTGCTTCTCTTCCACTTCCTCCTCCTGCTTCCTCCTCCTCCTCCTGCTTCCTCTTCCTTCTCCTCCTCGTCCTGGCGGTGGGCCGTGCTGAAGACGCTCAACGTCGCTTGGACGACGTCGACCTGGATGCACGTGGTGCCTGCTTCAAGCCGCGCGTGCTGTTGGAGCTGCGAGGTCACCTGTGATTAAATCGAGTGCTACGTGCAATGAGCACCGTGCATTGGCTCGCGCGTCGTTGCGAGAGCTGCCCTTGTCCTCTCCGCTGGTCTTTCTTGACCTGGGCTCCGAGGAGCAGCGCGCGACCCGTGACGACCAGCTTGTGGACATTGTCCGCCGCCCTGCGGTGGCCTATAACGCGTACCACATCTACCTCACCCAGTTCGAGCTGCCAGGCGGACCTCAGTGGTCCAGAATTCCTGGAGATGTCGCGGGGCCGCGCGGGCGCGCATCAGCGCTTAGACGCCCTGAGGGAGAACATGCCCCCTGAAGGCACGTGCGCTCCTCCTCCTCCTCCTCCTCCTCCTCCTCCTCCTCTCTCGCTCGCTCTTCTCTCTTGTTCTTGGAACTCTATGTCTCCTCTCTCCCAGTCTTCCTCCGCCTCCTCCTCCCCCTTCTCCCCTTCCCGCCTCCTCCTCCCTGTCTCTCCACTCGAGCGTCCGTATGCGGGGTGAGTGTTGCAGGGTCGGTCTCGGGGGGGGGGGCATCAGATGCTCGAGTGCTAGAAGGTGCGGGCTCGATTAGCGGTTGACGAGGCAGGCCTCAATGAGGCCCAGCGCTCTTGGAGGAGTGGGAACGGTGCCGCGGATCCAGCCGCGCGCTGCGGAGCGGAGTCCCACTCCAAAGTTGGCTCAGCTGAGTTGCAGGCCATCGGTACTGCTACTCAGACTGCCGATGTTGTTCGCCGCCACGCCGCCGACCATCTGCTTTTATGGCCCATGGCCCACGTGCGACCTATCGGCTCTCCTTGGTCCAGCCCAGGAGATAGGAGACAGCGAGCCGAACTCACGGCCCACCGGTGGCTTTGGCTGGGCCCACTTGTCGGCACCCAGCCCGTTTGGCAGTGCCAGGCATGTTTGCGTACGTCCAGCAGCGCTGGCCACATCGGCTCCCCCCGTCCTCTCTGGACACTGCAAGCGATGCCTCGACAATAACGTTCAAAGGTTGAGGGACCTGAACCATCAGTGTGGTGTGTTTGACTGTTCCCTCGACTCTCTCGTAGTTGTTCACATAGCTTGTCGCTCAACTAAGTTGGGCGGCAATGTACGGGCCCCCGCTTCGATCCCAGGACTGGTAAGAGCAAGCGTGACCAGGATAGTTGGAACAAATTTTGCAGGGGGCTCCACCCCGAAGAGGAAGGAGCCACCCTGCTGTCTGACAGTGGCAGTGTGCTGTAAGCATGCAGCGCGGCTCCCCCCTGGCACAAGGGATGGGAGGGGGGGGGAGGATTGGAGGATTGGAGGAGGCGGAGGCGGAGGAGGCGGAGGCGGAGGAGGAGAAGGAGGAGGATGAGGAGGAGGAGGAGGAGGACCAGCGCAAACCCAAGAGTCATCAATGATGTTGTAATACATCAACCCTCCAAGATCCCTCTTCATAGGCCCCTACAACGGTTCACCTCCATTGAGGGAACTGCCTCGTCGGAAAACAACCGCTTGAAGACCCTGAATCATACCAAAACATTGTTCTCGGATTCCAACGCCTCTGATCAACCTGACTGTTGCGTCTTGATGATCCTGAATCGCGCCAGAACGCTATTCCTTGGACTTCAACTCAGCGAATCAATGTAACTGTTGCACTCGCATAATCATGAATCCTTCCCAAACACCATTTTTGATACGTTGATGATGGGAATGTGTGAGACTCTTGCAAAGTTTCAAACCGAATGTGCGCCTCGCTCAGGCGAGAGACACATTTTGAAAAGGAGCCGCATTCAATTAATCCGTGAAACGCTTGCAACATTAAAAACAAGTATGCGCGGCACTAATGCGAGAGCCACATTTTGAAAACGACCCGCCCTCAATCCATGAAGCTCTTGCAAATGTCTAAAACGAATGTGCGCAACGCTAAGGCGAGAGACACATTTTGAATATTTCCCATTTTCAATCCGTGAAGTTCTTGCATATGTTTTAATCGAAAGTGCGCCGCGCTAAAGCGAGAGCCACATATTGAAAACGACCCGCCTTCCATTTGCCAACTTTAGTTTCAGAGTCATACATGGTGAGGAGGTCTCAGGCGAAACGCCCGGCCCGCCCTAAACACTTGCCTCGGGGTGCGACAGGGCGAAATCATCTACAAGGAAAAGGGATGGAGGAGGAAGAAGAGGAGGAGGAGGATGACGAGGAGGAGGAGAAGGAGGAAGGAGGAGGAGGAAGGAGGATGAGGAGGGAGGAGGAGGAGGAGGAGGAGGCGGAGGTGGGGGCCCTGGGCGGCCACGCGGGTGCTAGCGCAGGGCTGGGCGCAGGGCCAGGGCTCGGCTGCGGGGGGGCGCTAGGCGGAGGGTCCGGGCTCAGGCTGCGGCGCGGGTCGCTGGGCCAGCGTGCTCGCGGGGCGCCGGGCGCCAGAGTCACCATCGCCGCCGCCGCCGTCCTCCCTGGCATGCGGAGGGTAGAGTCAGAGGCGACGATAGGGGCGAATAGCCCAGGGGAGAGCCATACATGCATTCAGGTGCGCCGATGGTCGATGTCTTCGAAGAGGCTTCCGGGCGAATGCGTGTAATGCCCGCCCCTGGGCTATTCACCCCTATCGTCGCCGCCGATGGAGGCCCCGTCCGGTGCACCCCCCTTCGGGAGGAGCCGCCTCCCGCGTGCCTCCCCCGGGTGACCGAGTGCCCGTTCGAGGGGCCGTAGCGGTGGGCGAGTGCGCCGGCACCCATTCAAAGTGCTCTCGGTGGGCCCGCGCTCGCAGGAGGAAGAGGAGGAGGAGGAATATTGAGGAGGAGGAGGAGGAGGAGGAGGAGGAGGAGGAGGAGGAGGAGGAGGAAGGGAAGGGAGGAGGAGAGGGAGGAGGAGGAGGAGGAGGAGGGAGGAGGAGGAGGGAGGAAGGAGGCGGAGGAGGCGGAGGAGGAGGAAGGAGGAGAGAGGAGGAGGAAGAGGAGAGGAGAGGAAGGAGGAGGAAGAGGAAGAGGAAGAGGAAAATAATAATAATACTATGAATAATAACAACAATAATAATAATAGTAATAATAATAGTAATACTAATAATACTACTAATACTAATAATAATGAGAATAATAATAATAATGATAATAATAATACTAATAATAATAATATTAATACTAATAATAATAAGAAGAAGAAGAATAATACTACTAATAATAATAATACTATGAAGAAGAAGAAGAGGAGGAGGAGGAGGAGGAGGAGGGGGAGGAGGGGGAATAAGGATGAACGACCCCGTGATGAGGGCGAGAGCTCCTGAGGCCATCGAGTTCAAAACATCGAGTCGTCGGAATTATGAGTGGTTTTATCCATGTGCTGGGCCTTCCTGTGAAGGGGCCGAGCTCGCGTCGTGATTTTTCACGACGTGGAACCTCAGAGGTCTCGACCCATTCCTCAGGACCAGTGTTCCGTCCCGAGTTTCTGTTTGACAGTCCCGTGGCTGGGTTGAAAATGGCCAGAATTCGTCCGTTGAGATCCTTCCACGTCTCGACGGGTTCTGGGGAGCTCTGGGCGAGGCGACAAAAGTCGCAAAGGGCTTTCTCTCCAGACTTCGACCTCCTTTGGGCCATTTGCACGGGCCCACCAGGGGCAATCCAACGGCTCGCGGAAAGAATATGTTCCAGGGGATAGGTGGTTGTGTGTTATTGCTGGTAACGGCGGCGCACAGTGCAATCCCCAAGTTTTTCCTCAATCGGTCTTTGCCAAAGGGGTTCCGACTTGTTTGTGCAAAGCAAAACTGGTAGTTGCGACTTCGTCTGAGGGACGCGGCCCTTGGCGTCCGCCTGGTTGCCGAGCGTGGGCTGACAAGTGAGACGTGCGGGCCTGATCAAGTGACACGCCCGGGCCTGGCTGCCCAGCTCAGGATCTGATTGGCCAGCGTCAGCCAACAAATGACACGCTCGGGCATGACTGCCCAGCATAAGCTGACAAGTGGCATGACGGGGCTTGGTTACCCAGCGTAAGTCAGCAAGCGACACGCTCGCGCCTGATGCCCAGCTTGTCAGTGACACGCTCGGGCCTGGGTGCCCAGCCTAAGTTAGCAAATGGCACGCTCAGGTCAAATCGCCCAGTCTGAGCCAACACTTGACACTCTCGAGCCGGACTGCCCAGCGTTAGCTTTGCCGCACTTTGCTCACCAGTACCTCCCCTTGCTTAGGAGGAAGCGTTCCCCGAATTGGGGTCCCACCAGGCCCAGCTCGACTCGAGCCTGCCTGGGCCCTCGAGCAGAATGCCACCAGTCAGTCGGCAGCAGACCGACCGAAGGAGAGCACGGATCCGCTGACCTTCCTTCCTGCTCCAGCGCCGGCATCGCGGCAAGGACCGCCCAGGGGTTTCGGGTTAGAGCGTCCTGGTGCCCCACGCCGTGGAGAACGGCACGTGGCGTCGGAGCGGGCCCGGGGGCCTGGCCCCCGCCTCGACCCCCCCCCCTCGACCACGGCGGGAGGCTTCGGGGCGATTTTTTCTCGGCCTCCGCCGGCCCCTGCCGCAGGCAGGGCCCGCGGGGCCGTCCGCAGACCGCCCTGGGCGCCGGGGCCGATCTCTCTCGGGGCCGAGGCCTCCAGGTGGGCGCCCTGCGGAGACGTCCGCGGCGTCGGAGGTTTGGGCCGGAGGCCTGGGGGCGGGGGGGGAGCTGGGGGGGGCGTCGCGCCGCGCGCGGCCGCGGGAGAGGAGGTCGGGGCGGGCGGGGAGGAGGGCGCGGGGGGCAAGGTGCGGACTCGCTTCCCTGTGCTCTGTTCTTCCTCCCTCCGCCTCGACGGCGCGCCGTCCGGCCGGCGGTCTGCGGCGCGCCCCCTCCCGGAGCAGGCTGGGGGCCACGTATGTGAAGCTCGGCCAGTTCATCGCCTCCTCCCCGACCGTCTTCCCCGCCAACTACGTGCGCGAGTTCCAGCAATGCCTGGACTCCACCACAACGGTGCCCTTCGAAAAGGTGAAACAGATCATCGAGGAAGACCTGGGGAGCTCTGTGTCGAGTGTGTACTCGTATCTGGACCCTACCCCGCTGGCGTCGGCGTCCATCGCACAGGTTCACGCCGCCACCCTGATAACTGGAGAGGACGTGGTCGTGAAAGTTCAGAAGCCAGACATCCAGGAGGTGCTGAAGACTGACCTAGGCTTCATCTACATCGCAGCCCGTGTGCTCGAGTTCATTAACCCTGAGCTCAACAGCCGTGGATCGCTCGCGGACATTGCTGCTGATCTACGAGTTTCGATGCTGGGGGAGTTGGACTTCCGACAGGAGCAGAGGAACCTGGACGTGTTCCGCAAGTTTCTCTCCTCGAACGGTCTCGACAAGATCGCGACGGCGCCCAAGCCGTATCCTGAGGCGTCCTCCAAGAAAGTACTGACCATGGAGCGTTTGTATGGAGTCCCTCTCGTGGACCTGGAAGGCATCAAGAAGTACCGATGACGAGGAAGATGAGGAGGAGGAACATGACAACGACGACGCCGGCGAAAAGGACGGGGGCAAGGATGAGGACAAGAAGGACGACGACGACAAGACAAACAAGCGAGGATAAGTGTGAGTACTACGATTGTGTGGAGGAAGAGGACGAGGAGGAGGAGGAGGAGGAAAAGGAGCAGGAAGAGGAGGAGAAGGAGGAGGAGGACAACAACGACGACAACGATGACAATACTGAGAAGAAAACCTCGAGCGTCGAGCAGGTACACTGCAGAGCCCGAGAGCACCTTGGTCGCCGCCCTCAACGTCTGGGCCCTCTCAGTCCAGTCCTGCGAGTTCTTCCACGCGGACGTGCACGCGGGCAACCTCCTGGTGCTAGAGGACGCGCGTGCTGGCTTCCCCTCCCGCCTCGCCTTCCCCGCTTCACAGCCTCCCTCTCCTCATTTCCCCCCCTCTTCCTTCCCCTCCTCTTCTCCTCCTCCTCCTCCTCCTCCTCCTCCTCCTCGTCCTCCTCCTCCTCCTCCTCTTCCTCCTTCTCCTCCTTGTCCTCCTCCTCCTCCTCCTCTTCGTCCCCCTCCTTCTCCTCCTCCTCCTCCTCCTCCTCCTCCTCCTCTCCCTCCAATTCCGCCGCCTCCCTCGCCCTGCTTCGGCTCCCCTCTTCTCGCTACTCCTCCTCCTCCTCCTCCTCCTCGTCCTCCTCCTCCTCCTCCTCCTCCTCCTCGTCCTCCTCCTCCTCCTTCTTCTCTCTCCTCCCTCTTCCTCATCCTCCTCCAGACGTCTCCGGGGCTTTGCCGAGGTCCCCGCGGATGTCCCCGTAGCCGATCGGCCCCCGCAGACCGCCGGAGAAGCCCTGTAGCCCTACAAAGAGCACAGCGCGCCCAACACTTCGACCTTCTGCCCGCGAGCCTGGGATTCTCGAGGAGGAGGAGGGGGAGGAGGAGGAGGAGGAGGAGGAGGAGGAGGAGGAGGAGGAGGAGGACGAGGAGGGGGAGGGGGAGGATGAGGAGGAGAAGGAGGAGGAGGAGGAGGAGGAGGAGGAGGAGGAGGAGGAGGAGGAGGAGGAGGAGTAGAAGGAGGAGCCTTGCCAGTTTTGGATCTGGCCATGCCATTTGCCCCCCTGCTGGTATAGCTGGTAGCTGGTGGCTATCGTGTCGCTCCGACGCAGCCATTCCCCCTCCCCCCTCCCAGGGTCGCTTGCCCGTTGGGGGGGGAGATGAATCTAGGCATTTGTACAAAGAACGAAGCGCGACAGGCAGGCACCCCGGGGGCGGGGTAGCTCGGTCCCCCTGCACCCTGGGTGGGGGGGGAATAGGTCGAGTAGCGGATCGACTACATAATTTGTTGTCCGCAGTTCTAGTTTTCGTCGGTTGACAGCAACCGTTGCGCACAAGGCGCGTAGACTTATGATCATTCTATGAATTTTGTTGTAGATCGGCTGAACATCTAATTTTTGGGTACATCGTTTTTGTAGTCGACCCCCTGCTCAATGAGCGGGAGGCACTGCCTCCTTGCCCTTCTCCTCTTTCCCTCCCCCTCCCCCTCCGCCCATCGTGCGCCTGGGCCTGGGACCTGTCGCAGCCTCCTCCTTCGCCTCCTCCTCCTCCTCCTCCTCCTCCTCTTCCTCCTCCTTGTCCTCCTCTTCCTCCTCCTCCTCCTCCTCCTCCTCCTCCTCCTCCTCCTCCTCCTCCTCCCCCTCCCTGCTCCTCCTCCTCCTCCTCCTCCCTCCTCCTCCTCGCTTCGCTCGCCGCCGCTCCGACGGGCATCGAGTTGATCATGTGGGGCGCCCTGTGCTGCTGCGGAGCACGTCATGTTTCAAACGTCTTGGGGACTTATGAAGCCGTGTGGAGGCAATCTTCGGCGTTTTGGGGCGATCTCTCGTCGATTCCTAGCTCCATTGGACCGTTTCGGGAACCGTTGGGACGTTTTTGGCCCGTTTCGGGGCCTCCTGAGGCTCCAAGTGTGCGGATGATGGATTTCCCCCCCCCCACCCCTTCCAAACCGGCCGGACCAGGCCCGCCCCTTGGGGAGGGGGTTGGGGAGGGGGAAGCATCTCACACGCCGTGACCCCAAGGGGTCGGCGGATTCAGTGACACCGTCACGTAGGTATTCATAGTCATATTCCTCCTCCTCCTCCTTCTCGTTCTCGTTTTCGCTCCAGTTCCTCATCCTCCTTGTTTGTCCCCCTTCTCCTCTCCCTTTGCTGCTCCCTCCTCCCTCCTTCCATTTGTTGTTCAGCGCCTGAGGGTGGGCGCGTCGGCTTCATAGACTTCGGTATCGTCGGGCGGCTGCCCCCCAAGATGTCCAAGGCGATCGACGAGCTGAACGACGCCCTGGCGGTGAATGACGCAAAGGGCACGGCGCTCCAGCAGCGGCGACTGCAGCAGCGGCGACTGCGGCGGCGGCGGCGGTGGAGGCTGCGGCGGCGGTGACGTCGATGACGGCGACGCTGACACGGACGAGGCCTGGGGGGGATGATAGCAGGGGGGGACAGAGAGAGGCTATTTACGGCGAAGAGGCAGAGGGGGAGGAGGAGGAGGAGGAGGAGGAGGAGGAGGAGGAGGAGGAGGAGGAGGAGGAAGAGAAGGAGGAGGAGGAGAACAAGGAGGAGGAGGAGGAGGAGGAGGAGGAGGTGGAAGAGGGAGAGGGGGGGGAAGGGGGAGGAGCAAAAAGAGGAGTTGGAGGATGATAAGTGGGAATAGTTTGAGGACGAAGCGAAGGAGGAGGGCGAGGAGGGGGAGGCGTGGGAGGATGGAGAGGAACGCGGTTTTCTGTCACCGGGTTGGAGGCCTCCTGAGGCCACAGGGTGCCAAGGGCGTCCACGTACTTGGATTCTTCTGACTCGCGTCGGCACCGTCGCGGCGTTGGGTGTTTGTTTGCTAATGTACGTATATGATGTCTTGCGTCGTGGTTTCGCATATTTGTACGGCGAGCGCACTGGTCTCGACAGGAGCCACCGTTCTCCTCCTCCCAGACCTCCTTCTCCTCCTCCTCCCGCATGTAGTCGTCGTCATGATTGCCCCGCGTGTCGGCGATGTACCAGGTGCGGCATTGGCGGTCTTGACGGCGCCTCTGTCAGCCAGTAATTTCTTCGTTTAGGATGACGGCCTTTTGGACGTAGCCACTTCTCGAATCTCGTCGTCTTCGTCGTCTTTGACGCGCGCCTCCCCGCTCCCCTCCAGGCATGGCGAGCGCGCTGATCTCGATGGGAGCCACCGTCGACGAGGTCGACGAGGACCGCGCCGCAACCCCAGTCGTTCTCGTCGGTCGTCGTCGTCGTCGTCGTCGTGGTCGTCGTGGTCGTCGTGGTCGTCGTGGTCGTCGTGGTCGTCGTCGTGGTGGTCGTCGTCGTCGTCGTCGCCGCCGCCGCTGCCTGCGTCGTCCTCGTCGTCCTCGTCGTCGCTCTCCTCGTCCACCCTCGGAGAAAGGACAACACAAACTTGCACTTTCAGAGGTCCTTGCGGATTTCTTTGGTCGATACTGGACCCCCGTGCCCTGGCGCTCTCTGGCGCCGCCAGAGTGGTCCAGTGCCCACCCAGTAGATCCGAAGTTCCTGGAAGGTTCTGTTTATACAGTTTTCTGTTGTTTTTATAGATGTGGTCCTTGTCGTCGTCCCCGTGTTTGTCCTCGTGCTCCTTCTGTCCCCTCTCCTTCTCCTCCGCCTGCTCCTTCCTGCAATGTCGGGGCATCTGCTCCCTCACCCGCCGGGCTGGACCTCAGGAACTGGAGCGGCGTGTGCTTTCGAGCTCTCGGCCGTCTGAGCCAGGGCAGCAGTCCGAGTGGCTCGTCGTGCAGCGCTGGGGCATCCAGCGCTCGCCGATGATGACTACGCTCTGCTTACGGGACGTGAAAACGACCACAGCCACTGCTTTTCTTTTGTTGCCGCCTTCCAGCCAGCAGAAACGAAGCAGTGGTTGTGGTCATTTTCGTTAAGCTCGGCACCAGGGAAATTACCACAACCGCTGCTCCTGTTTCGGCCGGCTGGAAGGCGGTGCAAACAAGAAGCAGTGGCTGTGGCCAGTTTCCCGTCCCGCAAGCTGCTGCAGACTTCTCTTTCGCATTCCTCCCCCTAAGCAGTGCTTGCACTTCGAGGTTCCTACAGTGCCGTTGTTTTTTAACACATGCTCCTCGCGCGGATCGTGTATTAAGCATGCAGGGATTTAGTATCAGAAGCAACGACGGGTTCATGCGTAAATTTATCCATACATTAATCATGCATTAATAATCCAATATTTGGTTAAATCCGATGTATAAAAAATCTAACATCTTTAAAAACAATCCTATGTCTTAAAAGCTGCCCTGTGCGTCGCTCGCCTCAGCAAGCGGACGGACGGGCGGGGGGCGTCTCGCCCACGGCGGGCGGCCGTGGGCGCCTCGTGGGGCGCCCCCCGGGCGTCTGGGCCAGGTGTGCTCTCCCCGGGGGTTCCGCCCCGGTGGGCGCCGCGCGGGTGCGCCGTGCGCTGGTCGGACGCAGC